CGATCGTTATTATATATATTTCAAAGTTCAATTACAGGCTTCCAATGGCAACGGGTGGTTTGGAATGGTAAGATAATACGTATTAGATTACTGTATTATATTCGTTTTTATTAATAATAATATTTATTTTTGCAAATTTTGTAAATATTTGCTGCGTATAGGGATTTAATCCAAGTGATAATGGAATGACAAATGCAGATTTTATTATTGGATTTGTAAGTTAAATAAGTTAAAATTTATATAATAATATCATGCAATCCTGAATGATATAGATTTATATTTATTATAAAACATATTTCTTTAAAGGTTTCAAATGGAAATACTGTTTCATTAGGAAATTATATTGCAGTTTATGGTGGTTACCATCCTCCCACTCTTGATCCTCATCAAGATCCAGAACTGCAATCTTCGTTATCGTATTCGTTTGTTAATGATGTTGCAATCATAACTTTCAAAAGAGCACTTTCTCCTAGCGCAGTGGGAAGAAAGCCAATTTTACGCGGTCTAACTAAATGTATTGGAATATTTAATTTATATATTTTGATTTTTTTATATTTACTCTAATATCTAATTCTTTTATATTGACTATTTATCTTTATATGTAAAGTTGTCATGGCATATAATCCAAACAATAACATATTATCTTACCACCAAAATAATCGTGTTTTGCAGTTAATTGACTTTTATAGCGGTCAACTCTCTTCTTCAACCGCAAATAACCTTCAAATGATTACTCGTATTGTCCATGGCGGAGGAATGTTCATTACGTGGTGGTAAGTTGGTTTATTTGCTTTATCCATGTGATTATATAGCATATTATCACAATAATTCTTATAGAATTAAAAAATTATTAGTGTTATATTCCCAGGATCAATATTCTTTGTTCGATATTATAAAGTAAGCTTCTTATCGATAAAAAAAAAATCTATTCATCGTGACCATCATGAATCTAAAATATATATTTTATATTATGTATAGCACCACCATATGCATCTTAAATATCACCGATTCATTCAGGTGGTTGGCAGTATTTCCATATCAACGTTTGGAGCTGCCGCTATATCCACAGTAGTATCTGTACAAACACCACATGCCTGGTATAAACATTTTCACTCCTAATAAACCTTGTATTTAATGTCGTATCGTAATTGTTAATTTTATTATCGTTATTATCAAAATTAGGTTAGGATTGTGTGTATATGTTGCATCATTTATTGAGACAGGTACGTACTGTACACATAATTAATTATCTTTATATATTTATATATAACATTAAATTTTATTATTATTATGATTATTTTTAGCTTTCGGCTTAATCGCTATGTGGGGACAAACTGCTGTTGTATCTGTTAATAAGGTTTGTCAATATATCTTTTTTAAAAAAAATTTAATCATTACAGTATACATAATATATTTACTTAAATTTTATTATAGGGATATCCAAGATTTACGAAACGTTTTCATCAAATATTCGGTGGTACTCTATTACTTGCAGCATGGTAAGACATTTAAAAACCTGGATCATCACAATTGTTGTTATTTGTTATTATTCGCTAAAAATTTTAATTGTATATATAGGGTTAACATATATCTCGGTGAGCAATTTGTATATAATTATATGCAATTAAACATGATCATGTCATGCATTTAACATTAATATTTATACACACTTCTGCATATAGGAATTAATACTTTCGGTCTCTCTTATGGCTAGTATGTATATCAGTTATTCCAGTAATCAGCTTTGTATTCACAATTATAGGCCTAATCTTATTGTGACATTTTACGTAGCAACACGACATGGTGGACGGTTGGTTATCTTTGCTGGATATTTATACTAGTTCTTTACTTTGTATTGGGTGAACTTTGGTGGCATTTCGAATTTTTCAGACGTTTCCGTAAAACTGAGGATGAAAATGAAAAAAGAACTATGCTGCTTGCTCACATTAGTCATGATGATTACATTAAACTACCTCAATATATTTGGGAAGAATTTAACGAACGAGTTCAATATGGTGTAAGTTGAATTATTTAAAATATTTAGAATATTTAGAACATTCATAGAAATATATTGTTGATTCATTAAATCTTTTTTAATTTAGGCTTATCTTGTTATTTGTGATGGATTTATAATAGATATTCGCAAGTGGATTCATTCACATCCAGGTTTAAATTTTGTTTCTTTTTGCTTTTGCGAAAAAAAAAACTTGTTTTAATATTAAAATATCGTCAATTCGATTAATTATTTGATAGGCGGAAGTCATATACTTGAAAGGGTTTGCATCATTTTCATATTATACGCTTGAGTAAATTATCAGCATTGCTTTGACATATCTTTATATCTTAATTATTAGGTTATGGGAACAGATATCACGAATGGTAAATTACAATGATTATTATAATTAACAAATCGATTAATTTATTTTCACTTATATATGATATACTCTTTTTATTATTTATAGATTTTTATAACACACATAAAGATAATCATATCAATGAAGAATTGGATTCACCAGAAGTCCCACTAATAACAAATGAAAAATCTTCCATGCTAGAAAA